TATACTCAGAGAATTAGGTTTGTAGGGGAGAGCTGTGGTGAAACATGAGTGTATCATCTCCAGTTTCCAGGTCTGAGAGGGCCAAAGAAGTCACTTAGTCCTGCCCCCAGGTTTACAGACCAGGAAACTGAGGTCCACAAAGGTAAAGTGGTGAACCTGATGGTTACACAGCTATTTGGTGTTGAAACCTTTGGTGAAGAGAGTTAAGTACTGTTCTTTTTCCCTGTGCCAGGCTCTATTAATTGGTTAATTTAAAAAAAAATTACAGCAGAAACTAACACAGTGTTGCAAAGCAACTGTACTCCAATAAAAATTAATTGAGACAGTTTTTGGAATGAAAAAGAGAAAGTAAAATAAAATGTAATCTGCAAACATCTAAAACAGAAGTGTATGAGGGGTGGTAGGTTTGTATCTTCAGGGACAATTCAGTGACCAGAACATGGCAGGTGCCCCAACAGCCTACAAATACTGCTGAATGAACAGACCAGGCCTTCAGATAACTAGAATAGGTAGAAAGTTAAATATTTCAAAGCACCTGGACAACTAGTCTTCTGGGAGATGCAGCAGAAGCTGAAAAGAGAAAATGGAAAAAGAAATGAAACCAAACAACAGAATGAAGGTTTGAGAAGGAACATACTATACAAACCAAGTTTTATAAAAGAAAGTACTCTTGGGACTTCCCTGGTGGTTCAGTGGTTAAGAATCTGCCTTCCGATTCTGGGAACTTGTGCTGGATCCCTGGTCAGGGAACTAAGATCCCACATACCACAGGGCAACTAAGCCCATGCACTACAACTAGAGAGCCTGTATGCTACAACTAAGACTGACACAGCCAGATAAATAAATATTAAAAAAAAAAACCTACTCTTACTCACTCCAAAGATGCTGGTGATAGAAAAGTTAATACAAAAGAGAATCAAGTCCTTGAACAGAGTTTTCTCCAGAGAAAATCTCGAAGTGGTCACTAAGTCCATGAAAAGATGCTCATCATTATTAGTCATTAGTGAAATGCAAATCAACACTACAATCAGACACCACTTCAATGACCACTGGAGTAGCAATAAAAACAAAAACACATAAAACAACAAGTGTTGGTGAGGATGTGGAGAAACTGGAATCCTCAAATATTGCTAGTGGGAATGTTAAATGGTGCAGCTACCATGGAAAACAGTTGGGAGGTTCCCTGTAACTTCACTACTCACAAACCAAATGGTAGAAACTACTCAACTGTCCATACGCTGATAACGAATAAGTAAACTATGATATATCCACTCAATGGAATATTACTCAGCCACAAAAAAGGAATGAAGTAATGATTCATGCTACAAATGGATAAATCCTGAGAGCACTGTAAGTAAAAGAAGCCAGACATACATTGTTTAAGTCTACTGGTATGAAATATCCCAAAAGGCAAATAAATCTACAGAGGCAGAAAGCAGATTAGTGGCTGCCAGGGGCTGAAGCAGGGAAGGAAATAGAGATTGACCTCTTAACAGGTATGGATTTTCCTTCTCTGGCGATGAAAAAGTTCTGGAACTGGATAGTGGTGATGGTTGCAAAACATTGTGAATGTACTACAGTTTATTGAATGTCAATTATACAACAGTAAAGAATCTGCCTATTAATGCAGGAGACGCAAGAGACCCAGGTTCGATCCCTGGGTTGGGAAGATCCCCTGGAATAGGAAATGGCAACCCACGCCAGTATTCTTGCCTGGAAAATTCCAGGACAGAGGCTCCAGAGGAGCCTGGAGGGCTACAGTCCATGGAGTCAGACATGACTGAGCAACTGAGCGCAAAGATGCTTGAAAGAGAAATTTTAAAACAGGAAGATATATCAAGGAAATGTTAACAACAGTAACAATGAAAAGATCACTTCTGGCTATGCTGCATCAGGGACTTCTCTGGTAGCTCAGACGGTAAGGGGTCTTCCTGCAATGCTGGAGACCCAGGTTCGATCCCTGGGTTGGGAAGATCCCCTGGAGAAGGCAATGATAACCCACTCCAGTATTCCTGTCTGGAAAATCCCATTGATGGAGGAACCTGGTGGGCTACAGTCCACAGAGTCACAAACAGTCGGACACAATTAAGTGACTTCACTTCTCTTTCTTCCTATACCACATCAGACAAAATAGACTTTAGGGCAAAAATCCTCACTAGTGATAAAAGTAACTACGTGATAATAAAAATTCAATTCCTGTTAGACAATGTATGTCTAACAATATAAAGTTACAGATGCATAGTTAGAAATGAAAATAGAAAGTTGTATGTACACATAGTCTCAGAATATTTTTAAGCTCAAATATAAGGAGATATCAACAAAGACCGCATTATAGTGGGATCTTTCAATACACCTCTCTCAACTATTGACATGCTAAGCACACACAAAGTTAGTGAGAAATGATGAAATTAATAAAGTTCATTTGCTGGAGTAGGAAATGGCAACCCGCTCCAGAATTATTGTTTGGAAAATCCCATGGCCAGAGAAGCCTGGCGGGCTACAGTTCATGGGGTCACAGAGTCAGACATGACTGAGCACAGCACGGCATTCAGTCATCACAACTGGAGGTGTTAACCAATGTGAAGAGAGACGCATAACAGAGAAACGAGCAACAACAACAAAAACAGGATTTCAATGAAGTTCATTTAAAGGATATCTTAGACCTCTACAGAACAAAATGAAAGAAAACACGCTTCGCAAACACATATAATGTGAATGTACTTAATGTCATTGATTTGTACACTCTAAAATGATAAACTCACTGTTCTGTTTTTTACTACCAAAGGGAGAGAAAGAACCAAGTCTTGAGTGGTAGGTATTCGCAAACATCCAGTCTGAAGATACAAGTTTGTATGGAACAATCACATCGCTATTCAATAAGGCAGCATGTTCTGCCCCGCACATTTCTTAACCTTGGATCCACACTGCATGGATTATAAACCTAGCACCTACTTCCTCTAAACACGATTCAAGATTAATGCTGCAGGTTTGGGAGGGGGACAACAGTATTGCTGAGAAGTGCAGCTTCAGGGTGGTTCTCTACAGAGGCTGCTCTGGGGACTGCACGGTCCTGACGCCATTGTGCTAATGTGAACAGGAGGTGACCCACCCAGATTCAAGAGGGGAAGGCTACAGGGCCCCAGGGGTAGAGCTGCCCAGCCCGTCATCCTGAGAACACGCAGGCAGCGGTGAAGCCACCACCACTGGCACAGAGAGGGCAGTGGAAACTGAAAGGAAAAGCCGCCCTCTACCAGCAAAGGCTCAGGTTCTGGGATGCTCCTAGGATGTCCCGGTACCACTGGCAGCCGTCCACAACTGAGTGGGTAAGATGCACTTGAACTTTTGTTCCAGAGGATGCCCTGTTCTCAGCTCTGCGCCACCCAAGCCTTTCCCCTCTTTCCCCCAGGCTTCAAGGCTCAGCTCTATCTCTTGTAGTTATTTGAGATGATCTTGACAATCAACACAGGGTGCCAACCACAGGCTCCTAAGGTGTCTGAGAACTTTGGAACCGGGGCCAGGTGTATCTTCAGCTCCCGATGAAGTCTTTACTTGATCTGGCTTTAATCAGTTTGGGTCGAGTGACTGTTATCTAGGTGTGTTGGTGTGTTCCATGACTAGTTCAGCGCTCAGCACATTGTAAGTGGTCAGACAAGCTTGTAAATATTGCTGAATTAATTTATGATCACCCGGTGTGTTAGTCGCTCAGTCATGTCCAACTCTGAGACTCTATGGACTGAAGCCCGCCAGGCTCCTCTGTCCATGGGATTTCCCAGGCAAGAATACTGGAGTGGGCAGCCATTTGCTTCTCCAGGGCATCTTCTCAACCCAGGGACCGAACTCCAGTCTCCTGCATTGCAGGCAGAGTTTCTTTACCCTCTGAGCCACCAGGGAAGCCCCACGAACAACCAGGGCCTGGCACTAAAACAGGCAAATCCTGCCCATCGCCTCAAAGAGAGTCAATGTGGAGCCAAACGCCCTCATATTTTCTTAAAATCATTGTTCTTCTTTCCAGACTTCTCTAAATAATCTGATTTTGGCTTTCTGATTTCTACTAAAAGACAAAATGTGTTACTTTTAAATTATCAGCATCCAATATCTTGCCCCCTCCCAAATGTAAAAAAACCTCTGAAGTGCTGTTACGAAGGCATATACCCAGTCCCTGAAAAATGGCCATCACAGGTCTGAGCAAGAAAATACACAAGATTCCATACATACACTGTCAGGTTTGGCAAGAGAGATTTTTGACAACTTCCACCCTTCCCACCCAATCCCAAGTAAATAGGGCATTTGTTTGTATTTCCACATTGGTCTCATAAACCAAACTACCTCCTCCACCTAGAAAAACAATTTAACATTCAGACACTGAGCTTTGAGGGCAGACTTTTTTCAGTGCATGCTAGAGCAGTAAGAATGTAGTGCTTAAAGAAAAGCATCTTTAATAAACTTAGGTTCTCCTGTGACCTTACACTTATATCTGATTCGGTGTTTCTATAACTTCCAGAAATACAGATTAAAAAAAAAAAAAGTAGTTCTCAATGAAAATTAGAGCCAGAGGAACCTTCTTTCTACAGTCTCCAGCAACAGACCTGAATGTTCTACTGTATTTAGCAGGGGGAAAGGCACAAAAGTCATTTTCCTTTCCTGTGAGTTTTCACTTTGCACCAAGTGGTCCTGGCAAAGAGTTAAATGTTTTCTGAGGTTAGTTTCTGCGGTTTAAAAAAAAAAAAAAAGGCTAGATGCTTAAATTTAGACTCCGTAAAACAATACTGGGAAACTTTCAAAGCCTTGGAGAAATACTGGAGTTTGTTTTATTGCCTTTTGTTAAATTGCACCACATTAGCCACAAAGTCTTCTCTTTTTTAATCCCTCGCACCCCGGCTCACGGGCAGTTCCTACCCGTTTCCCGCGTGACTCAGTTACCTGTTGGGGGTCAGGGTCTGAGGAGCGGGGATGGGGAGGGAAATCCACTGGTCACTTTGCGCAGGACCCAAGTTTAACAGGTGGCTTCGGCCACCTCCTGCCAATATGAGATTCTCGCCCTCCTGCCTGCGGCGGAAGGGACACAGTGCCCCGGGAGTTGGACAGCCGCTGCGGCTACTCCGAGGAGGGCAGAGGGGCCAGGGCAAGAGTGTTGGGACAACCCCGGACCGCTCAGCGAGCCAAGTAAGAAACGTGCCACTGATCACTATGCGACCCCCCGCCCCCCGCCAGGGCAGCCTCGGAGTCAGAAAGCCACGCGTACTCCCCACCGACCCCGAGCCGGGCGCACGCCTATCCCAGGGATCCTGAGGGAGGTCCCGAGTTTCCTGGGTGAGAGGCCACCGGGCCGACGACAGCCCCTCGGATGGCGCCAGAGTCGTTCCTAACTTCCAAGGGACGAGATGCGAAAGAACCGAAGAACGCGCTTTGGAAGAGATCGCTGCCAGCACCGCACCGGCAGGGACATGCGGGAAGCCCAAGCCGCTGACTCACTAGGAAAGGGGGTCGCCCTTACCCCTAGGACCCCACCCGAACCCCGACTTCCAGCGATCGGCTCCAAACGCCACCGGGTTCACTGTCGTGCGGGGCGAAGGGATCCGCTGCCAGGACGCTCTTCCGCTCTCCCACCCTGTCCGGGATAAAGAAGTCCGCACTCACCTGGCAGGAGCGCCCTCCCCGGGGACCTCAGGAGCCCACACTGACTGCGGACCAGGACCCGAGCTCCCGCGCCGCCCGCTCGCTTCTCTGCTCGCGCGTACCTCGCGGACCATCCCGGGCCGCCCCGCCGCGCGCGCGCTCTTGCGCGCCCCCTGCCGCGCGCTCCCGGCGGGGCGCTCGCTCCTGCTTACACCCGGCTGCGCGCTCTGCGCAGCGCCGCCACGCGTGCTCGTACGCGCTCCTCCGCTCGTACGCGGGGTCTTGGCTGTCCCGCTCCCCAAACTCACAGGGCGCGTGCCCGGGACATTTAAAGGGACCAGTCCCCGCGCCGGAGGTGCCAGGCAGCCGCCTCCGGCACGGGTCGTTGGTGTCGGTGCCAGGTTTGAGTTGGTCCGATCTGAGTGAACCCCCAGCCCCATCTCTAGAGGAAACATAGGGATTTGCATTTGAAAGTCTGAATGAAACGAAACATTTTTTTCCTCCTCCTATAGTCAGCTTTGAGAGGTTATTTTGTATTTAGCGATAATAACTATCACGAATCAAATTCTTATTAACCTCCGACAAGGCATTTAATGGACACACATAATTTCGTTAAATCCTTAGAAGAGCTGCCTGATTTCTCATCCGCATTTTACAGAGGAAAACGGAGGTTCAGAGAGGCGAAGAAACGCGTCCAAGAGGTTTTGACCCCGTTGCTCGATGTCGTTTCTCCTTTGTCACCGTGGAAATGTCCACTGAGGTTATTAGCTGGTTGTGGAAGGCTTTTGTAAGTTGGTGGAAGTGAAATTAATGCTGGTGGAAGTTAATGGGGTGGGACAACCCTGTACGAAGGGAGAAAGCAAGAGTTACGGGGTTTTATTGCAGGGTTTGAGATATACTCAAATGGCAGATATGATAAAACCCCGTATTGCAGAGTGCTGCTGTGCTTATCCCCATTTTACAGAAAGCTAAGGAAGGAAGTGGTTGATGGCGAAGCATGACTGAGTCACTGGCGACACTTAGGGTGAGCCTTAATTCCTTAGGCCTGATATCATTTCTTTGCCCTTCCCTGATTAAAGGGAAGAAAACTTTTTCACTAATAACACATTGGCCTCATCTAACTCCCTGCATCTTTAATTAATGTTTACAAACACTTTAATCTACCCCACTTACTACTTAATTAGGCAAGTATTATTACCCCCTCTTTCTGAACCAAATCCAGAAGAGACTTAAGTCCTTAATCCTCCTTAAATAATGCACCTAAGCTTTCTGTCCATGTTCTTTTTATTTCCTCTTTTGTACCATATTGTTAAACATTAATATATTTATGATGAATTGGCTTGGTAAAAAAAATATCAAATAGCCACGGGTGGGAGGTAATATAGGCAACCTCTATCTTTCATAAATTCAGATTTTAAAAAGACATTATGATAAGTGCTTCCCAGAATTTTTCTTTTCCTCTTTACTGGTTTTTGTTTTTCTTAGCTTGGTTAAACTTTTATGATGCATATGCATATGCTTAGCTTAGTTATTATAAAGTACACATTATGTTGTGTGTACAAATTAAATTTTACATGGTATCATCTTCCAGGTGAAGAGGAAATATAAGGAGAAAGAAATTGAAGGATGATAGGATTAGGAAGGAAGAAAGGGAAAAGAAAAAGGCAAACAAAAAAGGTGGGAAGGGGACAAAAAATGAACAGAGAGAAAATGAGACTTGAGGTTTCAACCAAGGCAGTAGGGGATGAAGCCAGCCCTGCTAACTGGGAACTGAGCCTTGTGGGAATTTCAAGCAGGCTGCCGTCTTTGGGGCTGGTGCAGAACTGGCCAGGGCCCAGTGTGAGAACCTGAGTCCTCTGCACCCCTGTCCACGCACCTCTGTGCCAACTGAACATACCCAAAGGCGTTAGAAGGGTGAGAAAGAACATAAAGTGAAATAAGAAATAAGAAAGCAAAAAACAGGTTAGAGGGGGAATTAAAAGATTGCTATTCTTAAAAGTACTTTTTTTTTTTTTTTAATTTAAAAGTACTTGGGTAACATCAGTGGAGAAAAGAGCAAAGAAACACCTGTAGGGTTATGGACCTGCAATTTTTACTACTTTAAAATCCATGATACTGACAAAACTTTGCTTTCTGTTCACTTGACTTTTTACTGAATTCTTTTGAGGCTGGTCTTTGCTAAGAAAATACCGGTGATACAGGGCCCCAAATATTAGATGATTATTCTTATTACCTTTGTATAAGTTGAACACTTTTTTAAAATTTTTATTTATTTATTTATTTATTTTCACAAAAGCTGCTTCATTTTTATTTCATACAGATTTGTCTGGATATACTTTTGAGATATTTCTTTTTTTTTTTGAAATCCAAAGTTATCACTATATCTAAACAAGTAGCAAAAATTACTAAATAAGAGAAACATCCAACCCAAGTTAAGATATAAAAAATGAAAATGATTTGTGGCAAACAGACTTTGAGTGAGTGAGTGAAGTCGCTCAGTCGTGTCCGACTCTTTGCGACCCCATGGACTAATGTAGCCCACCAGGCTCCTCTGTCCATGGGATTCTCCAGGCAAGAATACCGGAGTGGGTTCCCATTTCCTTCTCCCAAGTTGAACACTTTTAAGTAAACTTTTAAAATGTAAGCTAATGATTTTTCGAATTAAAATGAGTACTGTGCGAACTGGCTTGAGAAACGGCAATATCTGTAATGACCACTAGAGGGAGGTAGACAGGAAATGGGAAAGAACAGAAAATAAATTTCAAGAGTTTTCTTTATTAAAAAATTATAGTATTTTAGAGCTAAAAGGGGAGATACCAAAAGACATGATTCTCCCTCTCTCTCTTTTTTTTTGGCTGCACTGTGCGGCTTGCAAGGATCATGTTTCTCCAACCAGGGATTGAACTCGGACCTGGCAGTGGGAACACTGATTCCTAACAACTGGACCACCAGGGAATTCTCCAGAAGACATGTTTTTGATTTATGCCTCTTCCATTTAGAATATGTGTAAACTTGAACTACGTATTCCTTTTGAGATTCAGTTTCTTACTCGTATGATGAAACTGTTAAATCTACCTTAGGAGGCTAAAACAAAATTATTTTAAAGTTAACTTGAACAAGTAGCAGATGAAAAATGTTAAGAAAATAATGAAAGTGAAGAAAAATACAGGAAATTTCCCCACTTGTTAGTTAAACATAGTATAAATAATAAAGTGAATGTTAGCATATGCAAATAGAATGTTAGTATATATTTAACGATATAAATGATAAAATGGAGTAGATGACTCAGAAAAAGACACTGGGTCAATATAGTAAAAAAGTCAATATAGTGTAGATTTTTAATATGTTATGGAGTCATCTAAAATAAATGAAAAAGGGACAGATTCTCAATAAATGGACTTAAGAAACTAGTAATTTGTAACTTTCATTATGTAATTTGTAATTTGTAACTAGTAATGTAACTTTCATTATGTGTTAAAAGAAATTTCAGCTACATTAAAGAACTTTAAAACTAGAAAATTTAGGAAATATTAATGTAACCTCAAGGTGAGGGAATAAAAGAAATAAAAAAATCATAAAGGAAACGACCAATAGACCACATTACATGAGAGTTTTAAAATTCTGACAACTAACTAAAGATATTTTAAGCAAAATTTGAAAAGAAAAAAAAAACTGGCAGTTCATTTCATCCTCAATACAAGAGTACACACACATTGTTAAGAGAACTCTAATAATTCAATGGAAAATTTTTCTTAAAGAGGAAATAAAAGTGATTAGTGTGTATGTGTCATGATATATTTTTAATTTTAAAATGTATTTATTTATTTCGACCACACTGTGAGGCTTGTGGGATCTTAGTTCACCAAACAGGGATCACAGTTGTGCCCTCAGCAATAAGGGCATGGAGTCTTAGACACTGGACCACCAGGGAATTCCCATGTAATTATATTTAAAGTGTTTGGTTTATCCAGTAATTTAAAATTAAAATAGTAAGCAATATTCACATCTATTATATTAGAAAAGAATTTAATTCTAACATTTAGTAGTGGCAGGAGTGCAATGAAACAGAAAGTTTTATATACTATTGGTGGGACATAAGTTGATATAACTTTTACTGTAAAAATATTTGTATACTTTGGCCCTACAGTTCCATATCTAGGGATTCTATAGAACTAATCAGAGATGAGTGCAAAAATTTGTGCAGTCTCCTTTTTAATAATGTCAAAAAATTATAAACAACCAAAAAAGTCCAAAATTAGGGGACAGTCTCAGTCGTGTCTGACTCTTTGCGAGTATGCACACATGCTCCTTAATAAACTATTAAGCAGCTCTTAAAAATGAAGTATTTTTCATGAACACAAGAAAATACCTAAAGGGGAAAAAAGAACTTTACAAAATTGTGTGAAATTACTGTTTCAGCCATGGAAAATGCGTGTATATATTAAAAAACTGAGTGAATATATCAAAAGGATGACATTCTTTCTGGTGATGAGCATGTCATTCTTATTTTTAGTATTGTATGTGTCCCAAATTTTCTGTTCTGGTTCTGCATTACTTTTATAAATCAATATAGGCATACACATCTTTTTGAGACAATAAATGCCAATGTGCATAGCATAGAACCTGGCTTATATCAAAGAGTCATTAAATATTTGGTAGATGATAGGTGATAGATGATAGAAGGAAGGAATAGAAGGAGATTGATGTACCTCAAGGATGACTTGCTAGTGAAATTTCTTGATTTATAAAAAGAAATTATTCTACCAATGAGGAAATTACAACCTGGAGGGCTTTTGGTGGTGATTTCAAGAAAAACTTTAAAAGATGATAATAAAGTGGCCCCATACTTCCTGAAAGCAAATGGATCATGTGTTACCTTGTTTGTTTTCCAGGTCAATATTCTGAAGGAGAAACACATGTGGAAGAAACAAATATGGAAGAAGATGGTAAATAAATTACATCTAAATTCAATAAGAGTCTGAAAGAGAAGCAAGGTTCTAAAAAGATTCATGGTGAAGAAGTGCTGTTCATTCGAGCTTCAGGACCTGCCAAGTGACCGAGGTCCAAACAGGAAGAGAGGATGTATGGAGCCCATTGATTCTTCATCCAGAAATAATTTGTGGTTTCTTATGTGCCAAGTGTTATGAAGGGTAAAGTCCAAGAGGTGCAACAGAGAGCAGTATGGATGAGTTCCCTGTCCAAGGGGAATTTATGGTCCAGGAGGGTTTGGGGGATACAGACGAGACTCCAATGCTAAACTAGTTGGTCACCATCTGTCTATGAATCCCCAAATAGAGTAGAAGTGATTCTGTAAATAAAACAATGGTAAGGTGAATGGTATCCCCCCCAGAGATAAGCCTGAGGACTCATGGTTGGTCTAAATTTGGCCACGGACAACTTTGTTTGCTTCTCCTGCTATCTGGCTA